GCAGACCCTCGTGGCGAAATGCGTCCTCTGCGCGGTGACGTGAGCGGGGGCCGCAGGACAGCCACCGGCACTGCCACATGGGTGTCAGCAGCCACGCCCGGAGGCCGCCCCGACGAGGCACCCCAGCCTCAAGAGCGTCATCGCGGACCGTCCCGTCAGCCGGAGCGGTGCGGCTCCCTTTGCACGCGCAGCAGCCCAGCAGGCCTCGCACATCTCTACAATACCGACGCGGAGGCCACGGCTCAACCCCGCGCGCGTTGATCGGGCGCAAAGGGGGGGGAGGCCCGCCCGCGCGCCTCTATGTGGACGCCCATAGTCCGAGGCTTCACCGTCGGGTGTGTGTCTCGGAAGGTTCCTGCGTCCTCCCTGGCGGCGCGGCGACGGGGACCACGCTCTTGAAACGACCTGTCCACCGCGCGCCCCTCCGCCTGCGCCGGCGAGGGCTGCGGGGCACGCGCCGTGGACCGCGAAGACGGGATGGACCTCCAGCGGCGCACCGGCGGCGCCCGCGGCCAACCGCCACACCTTCCAGCGCCGCAGGTGGTCGCAAGTCACGGGGAGGCCTGCGGGGGAGGGGGTCGCCCGTGCTGGTCGCCCTGGGGCTTCTCCGCCAGCGCCACCTCCCTGTTCGACGCCTTCGCGGGCGGGCGCTGCCGACGCCCCCCGGGCCGCCCAGCGTTTCTCGTCGGCAGTCTCACCGACTCCGGCCCGCTGGCGAGGGCGCCTGGGAGTGCCAGAACGCCCTGAGGGCGAGGAGCCCCCAGTCCTCGCGTCGGCGCCGTCAGTCTCTGTCGTATCCGTCTTCTTCGTAAGCTCCACTGAAAGTGCTGCCGAAACTGGCAGGCGCCTTTTGGATGGGAAACGCGCGAATATACACCAAGGTATCTGGGGCTTCACGGAAACGCCACGAAACAGTGCTCAGTGTATAATTTGCCGGCTGGTTCCCCGGGCGACAGGTGGTGGAAAAATACCACAGACCCCGCAACTGCGGGTAAGAATGAGGGGGCGGCGGGGTCGAGGGCAGACTGCGAGGGGTCGGAGAAGCCCGCCGCAGGCGCCGATTGTTGACAACGATTCACAGGCGCCTGGCCAAGGCCGCCATCAGCTGGGCAAGGCTGAGCCCGAGGGCCGTGCTACACTGTCTCGGGTCGGGCGAAAGGGGGGGATAGCAAAGGGTGGGTTTGAGAATCAGCTCACGCAGCTGATTTTCCCGGCGCCTCCAGGCGCCGGAGGCGGCTATGTATCGAGGAATAGGACCCCCGGCGGGGCCGAAACCAGCTGCATGCAGCAAATTTCGTACCCCCCCCTTTCCCAATCCCCCCCTTTCGCCCGACCCGATGAGACCGAGGGCCGTGCTACACCCAACGTCGGAGGCACCCCTTCGCCGAGCAGGTTTCACAACGTCCACCCACAGTCCCGGACGGAGTCCCAATGCCCGCTGCCTGCCTTACCGAACAGAAGGCCGGCTGCCACTCACCCAGACCGTGGATGAAAGTTCCACTGATAGTGCGCCCAAGGGGTAGGACTGGAGACCAGGATACGGTGGCCAGCCTCCACCCTCGGGGAGGGAGGAGGAGGAGGAGGAGGAGGAGGAGGAGGAGGAGGAGGAGAAGGAGGAGGAGGTTCCCTGTGGGAGGAGGAGGAGGAGGAACGCCAGTAAGTCTCCGTGTCTGGGGTGCCTCCCCGCGCGCGCGGGGCGGCCGGCCGAGAGGCCGTCGAGGCCGTGGTGCTCGAGCTTAGGGGAGTAATGGTCCAAAGGCCGACGGGCGGTTCGGAGGCCACTACGACCGGCCTCTCGACGAGCCGTTCGAGCAGGAGGCCTAGTGCTCGCGGTTCGGAGGCCACTACGACCGGTCACCGACGACCTGCTCGAGGCCGTAGTAATGGTCCAAAGGCCGTCGAGGCCGTCGAGACCTTCGCTCGCCTCAACACAGAGTAATGGTCCAAAGGCCGACGGGCGGTTCGGAGGAGGAGCAGGAGGAGAATCGACTGTACTGTGTTGAGGCGAGCGAAGGTCGAGCTGCTGTCCTCGCCGGGCCCCAGTGCCGTGAGCAGACGGCAGTGGGTCTTCGTTCTGCACCAGAACGTCTGCCGCGTGTCTCAGGCATGCTGCAGGAATACGGCTCTACACACCCCGTTCCGCGCCTTCGTGCGACCTGCAAAGAAACGCCAGGAAAACAAGGTGCAGTCCACATGCCGACCTGCAGTAGGCGAACTCATGAGGTGAACCGTGGCCTGAGAGAGAATGAGCGTGTGAAAGGTGACGAATTACCTCCCTCCCCCTGCGCCGGCCGCAGGCCAGAGGAAACACAGAGCACCGGCTGCTCGCTTGGTTACTGTGCGCCCTTGCGGGCACCTCTTCTTTCTCCATCTCCCGCTGCCGTTCATGTTCCGCACGTCTTGCAGCCTCAATTTCTGCATCACTCTGCCTGAGTCGTTCCTTGCAACCGCGGGACACATGACCAGTGGCGGGCCGTTCTTCAATCCTGAGACTTTTCAAGGGTCGGGCACGACGTCGAGGTGGTATGGTGTATACTTATCTCCCCGTTTTCCCGGAGAAACAACGAAACATGTTTTCACCAGGATCCCGTATCCACCAGGATCCGCTCTCCTGTGCGGATATCCGTGCGGGGCCGGGCAAAAGCGTCGGTGTATAGAGTTCGGCTCCTTCAACAGCTGTGGTGCTTACTTGGCGGCGCGCACAAAGGGGGTACGGGGAGGGGGGAAGGCTTCTTACAAGGAGGCTGCTTCTTAGAAGGCGCAGGCCTTCCATCTACGAAGAAGGCCCGCGCCTTCTCAGAAGCAGGGGTGCTTCTAAGAAGCCTTCCCCCCTCCCCCATACTAAAACAGGGCTAGGATCGGGATAAATCGCTCCAGAGCGTTCCGGAGCGCTCTCAGAGCGTTCCGGAACGCTCTGGAGCGGCCGCGGCGCCCGACACATCCTCCACACCCGCCGATTCTCAGAGATTTCGAGCTATCCCGATCCGATTTTGTCCCGATCTTCGCGTCGTTTGACATACCCCCTTCTGCGCGTGGCCAGCTTACGTTGGCCCGACAAGGAGCGAGCAGCGGCAGCAGCGGCGGAGGGAGGCGGGCGGGGAGGCAGAGGCCAGCGGGCGGCCCGCCGCCGGGGGCCCCGGGCCGCACGCTCCTCGTCGTCCGTCTGCAGCACCTGCCCGGCCACGCCCGTGGGGGCGGCGGGAGGGTCCACCGCAGAGAAGAGTCGGCACGCCGCCGACGCCTCCGAGACTTGGCGGCACGCACAAAGGGGGCGGGGGGGAGGGGGGGGGGCTTCTTAGAAGGAGGCTGCTTCTCAGAAGGCGCCGGCCTTACATCTGTAGATAAGGCCCGCGCCTTGTAAGAAGCAGGGGTGCTTCTGAGAAGCCCCCCCCCCTCCCCCCACCCCCCTCTGCGCGTGGCTGAGAGGCAAGGAGGCGGAAGAGGCAGGAGGGGCGGGAGAGGAAGAGGATCTGCTGGGCTGCTGCCCTGGTAGAGGGCAGAAGACCCACCCCGATGAATAGCCGCCCCAGCACGCGAAGCTATTTCGGAAACGCGCCCAGAGAGGGAACCGAACAGGGCAGGGCTGTTTGGTAAACGCCCAGGGACGTTTAGTAAACACCGATTTGTCTGGTGCGGGTGGCTTTTCCTCCCTTGATATTGGACCACCGCCCGAAGAACGGAAAACGATCTGGCGGGGTAGGGTCGGATCCCTGCCCGCAGCCCGCGGCAGGGCGTACAGAAGGGGAATAGAAAGCGGAAGAAGGAGACGAAGAAGAACGGCAAGATCGGCAACAACACGGAGAACGGGGAGAAGCAGGGGAATGCAGAAGACGGCAAAAGCGCGTGCAAGCCGAAAAGGCGAAAGAGGGGGGAGAGGCTAGAGAGAACAAGCATGGAAGAGCCACAAGGGATTTCTCCGAACGACGAAACCTTCCTGGACCGTGGCGCCGCTGGGCCATCACCTGCATTATCCCTTCCTCAGCGTTTTTTTTCCCACGCTGTGGGGGCTCGACCAAGCCGAAGCCAACCGAAAGAGAGAAACAAAAAGCCATGGAGGGAGACACAAGCGGAAGGCAACATCATCGACCGAATCGAAGCGGCCGAAACAATGAAACTAGAACGATCGATCAAAAATAGACGCGCACAGCCGCAGATTCCCTCGCATGCTGGATCCGTCCGTGAGTCTATAGGTCCACCCAGGCGCTCTCCGAATCGGCAACTCTCCGCCCCGAGCCTCCGCAATAATAGCCGATGTAACCCCCTCCAAGCTGTACATTCGAAACGTTGTCATAAGGAACCCTGAGTAAGGAACGAGGCCCGATTTCTCCATAAACTGCGATTTCCCAAAGAACACCTAAGAACAACCTAAGACAAACTTTAGAACAATCAAGGAACCCTGAGCCCCTCTCTAACGAAAAGGGCTCCTTCTTCAGCGGTCCGACCGTAGCTAACATATCTGGTCGCCTGCTTTCTGGCCACGGCTTGCACCTCGGGCTGGGTTTGGGACGACGGCGCCGCGGAAGCGACACTGACGGGACCAGCTCCCCAGAACCCCGACGTCTCGATTATTTAACAACGTGGACCACATTAGGTCTGGACCCCTTCCACAGGAGGTCTGGACCCCTCCCCCAGGGCAAGACGAATTTTCGTCCCCATACGCTTGTTCACGCTCCCCAGGCCTGGCGAGGGCCCCTGGAGGCCGAAAACTGTCTACAGGGCAATGTTTGATACATGGGATTTTTGAAATATAGGATTTGTAATACATGATTAATTATGAATACATGTATGCGTGAACTCATCGCTGTTTTTAACAATAAATCCTTGCATTTTTAATACATGATTCGCACGCGGAGCATGTATTAGAAACGGCACTGTAAAACCGCACGTCGTGTTTTTGGGGCACGACGAGAGGAGGTGGGGGTCCGGCGCTGTCCGTTCAATGCCTGCTGCGTCCAAGACGCGGCCGAGGCCCATCCCGCTGCGGCCGAAGGGGACGGCGCCTTGACGCCCGTGTAGATCAGGAACAGTCCCAGCACAAAGTGCGTCCTGCCGTGCCCGCAGGGTGCCGGAGGGAGCACGCCAGTGAGCGGGACGAGCAGGAAACAGGAGGAGTCGGAGTAGGAGGGCCACGACGAGGACGAGGGAGAACACGACGGACACGACGAGAACAGGGAAAAGAGCGAGGACGAAGATGACGACGACGACGACGACGACGACGACCAGGACGACGGCGACGACGGCAATTACGATGACGATGACGATGAGGATGACGATGATGACGACGACGATGATGATGATGATGATGATGATGATGATGACGACCACGATGATGATGGTGATGATGGTGGTGGTGATGATGCTGATGATTATGATGGTAATGATGATGGTGAGTCTGAGGGTGAGGGTGAGGGTGATGGTGATGGTGATGTTGATGATGATAATGATGATGATGATGATGATGATGACGATGATGATGATGATGATGATGATGATGATGATGATGATGATGATGATGATGATGATGATGATGATGATGATGATGATGATGATGACGAGGGCAAGGACGAGGGGCCGTCGCAGTATCAACTGCCGGACAGGAACACATGTAGGAAATGTAGATCCCGAGCCGCCCATCCACTTAGGACACGCGCTCATGATCCTAGTCCTTCTCCATGCCTCCTCCCAAACGCCGCCCCAATGGCCCAGGATACGCATTTACCCCATGGCCCCCTTAGGTAAGACGCCGACGGTGGCCACGAAGATAACGACGACTAATTATCCCAGGCACGGACGTGCACGCGTTGAAAGCGCCTGGCCAACTGGTCGATTGGACAACTTCCGAGTAAACTTTCTACAGCCAAGACCTCAACATTCGAGCATCAGGGGTTTCTTCATCAAGTTTTGACGACACAGCCGAGCGACGGCTTGGGAGGGGCGTAAGCACACTAAGCAACATGCAGATATCCTCAGAGGAAACACGAGGAGGAGTCCAGAAGGGGGCAGGCTAGACACCTGGTAGTATCAGGTGTCTAGCCTGCCCCTTCTTCGCTTTCCGGGGGCGAGCGAAAACTCCGCACGGCAGATTCGTGTGATGTCGCCTTCGGCGCTGGTTCCTGACACCGCAAATTCCGTTCAACCTTGAACAATCGGCCGTTTCCAAAACATCAGATCGTCCAACATCGGCCGATTCTGGGTCGCCGGCGGCGTTCAACACTGAACGCGAGCGGCGGGGTTCGCCGCCGGTCGGCACGACGCGAGCCTACCGCAAGAGAGTCAGCCCCGAGTTCCCCGTCGACGGTGCCTGCACGGGCAGCAAGTGTCCGGCCGCGGGGCGCCCCAGCTCGTGTGCACGCGGCACAGCTCGTGACGAGAGGCAGCGTGGGCCTTATGGCCCACAGCACAGGGCACCTCGGGAAGCAGCAGCAGGAGCCTACCATCTGGCCAAGTGTATAAAAATACGTTCAGACCAACAGTGGCAGTCCTGAACGTTGTACGCCAAACTTGCGCCGGACCCCGACGCTGCTGCACGTGACCAGCAAGAGCCCAGCTGAACAGATGTATCACTCCACTCGACCGAGCTCACGCGGACGGTGACCACACAGTCAAAATACCAACTCTCTAGGTGCACACTCTCTGGGCGCGAAACAACCATCTTTCAGTAAACTCCCAGGAGCACGCACGACATCTAGCCTGCAAAAGACCACACGTCCGCTAAACTTCATTGACAAACCCATACGCATGAAAGCAATCCCGCCATAGGTCCGCTTGATCTGAGGCCGACTGCCTTTAACAATGGCGCTACGCTCGCAATCGCCAAGCTGTTCTCACACAGTGCGTTGCCTAGAGCTGCATCCAAATAGCAGGATTGAAGTGGCTAAGACACTTGTCGATTGCTTTCTCGTTGGCCCTGCCCTCACTGATAGCCCTAGTCCATAACATCACTGATATTGCCTGTTCCTGCCTAGTTCGACATGTTGGATTATTTGTTGTATTGTGCACTCCTGGTGCCCACTGTGTTGCCTTTTCCTCTGTTTCCATATCGCCATGTCTTCGACTCCCCCACTAGCATGTGCTTCTGCCTCCAGCGGTTTCGCCGTGGCCGCCTTCTCGGCCTGATTATCCACTTCCCTCCCGATCGTGGCCTCTGATGTTGTTGTTCGTTTCCCCGCTCTTGGCCTCAGACTGCCTCTCTGCATTGCTCCTGCGCCCCATATGTTTGCCGAACATAGTTAAGATTCGCAGTGGGTTCCACCTTCGCTTTCTCGTCTCCCCCTTCCGTCTTCAACCACAGTTCCTTTTTGTCACTGCTGATCCTATCACCAGCCACGCCATTAACAGCGTCAGCAGCTTTCATCGTCCCGTCCTTCCTCCCTGTCTGGACTTTGCCCAGGGGGGGGGGCTAAGCCATCCCGCGCCAGAGGGCAAGCGGCGACAGTCCTCCCTCCCACTGGGTTCCTGGGGGGGGAGGGGGGGGGGCTCGGAAGTTCCCTGGGGCGTCCTGGCGGTTCCCCACAGCTCTTCGAGTTTAGTTTATCATGCCTGGCCTGTGGTTGCAGTGATATGCTTAGCTCGATTTGCCTTGCACCTGTTTGATGCAAGATCCAAGTAAAGTGGTATGACGAGACACGTCCTGTTTCGCGTTGTTGCTATATGCAGTCGGATGAAATTCGACGTGCATGGTTGCACGGCTACGCTGCTTTGAGGCGGCATGCTATGATTCGATGCGGTATGCTGTGATGTCAAGCGTAGTAAGACCATGGTGTTTGCTGGTATGTGCCCTGCGCAGCTATAACATGCCATGGTGCGCCGTACAATACGACGATATGATGCGTTGCATAACAGCCTGTGGTTCAGTGGTACGCAATGCCGCGCTATACTCATATCCGCCGGCCCCCTTGTTGGTTTCGATGCGTGCGAGATTCCCCCCCCCCCATAATCCCCACCCCGGGGGCCCCAAACCGGCAATTCGACCCCCCCCCCTCGCCCGGCCCGAACCCGGACCGAACGCGCCACGGGGGAGCGGAGGGCTCCAAAACTTATCGAAAATGCACCCAAACGCTCCCCAGACGGTCCCCGGGGGCCACGATTCGCCGACAGATCGCCCCTGGACGCCCATGATGGCCACCAGGCGGTCTCCGAAGCTGCCAAGACGCCCCAGAAGGCCCCCAAGATGCGCCTCAAGAGGGTCGCGAGAAACAAGAATCAGCCCATCCCCCTTCGAAAACCAAGCATTTTTCGCATGCTCGCCGATTCGGCTTTCACAGCGTCCAAAACAAGCAAAGACATCTTCAACATCGCCCACTGACGGCCAAAGGGGCCCCAAAGAAGGGTCGAAGAGGGTCCGACAACAGCCCACGAAGCCCCCAAGACAGCCCAAGAGGGCCCCCAGACGGCTCCAAGACGGAGTCCAGATGGCACCTTTTTTCAAGCCTTCGGCCCCGAGACGTTCCCACCCTGCTCCAAGAGCACCCCAAAAGGCCCTGAGGGACCTCCAAGAAAACCTCCGAGGCCTCCACGAAACCCCAAGGAAGTCCCCAAGAGGCCCCAAAACTATCTGCAAGACGACCCCGTCCGGCCTCCCACGAGATCCTCTTGACCATCCGTGTGGACGCAAACCTGCAACCCAAGCAAAGTGGCGGGATGCGCCACGCCCCATTCGAGAACCACTCGTCCGGTTTTTGGACCGACACCTGTCGTCTACGAGCGCGGGCGCTCGCAGGTATTTATCCATGTTTGCACGGCGAACACTTCGAAAGTCAGCCACGAGAAAACGCAATGACCACGCAGTATCCCTCCACCATCTGACATTGCCCCCTCTTCCAGAGCGCTCCGAAGAGACAACGCGAAGCCCCCCTCAAATTCTGACCCCCTGCCAAGCCAGTTTGGACCGACGGCCATGACAAATTGCACGGTCCAAGCACCTGTTCAGGGTCTCGATATCCAGGGCGACGCACACGCTGTCCGAAGTGTCGGACATCTTTCCAAAAGGCCACCAGAGACAGGAGTACACGCCTCCAAACCAGATCGTCCCTCCTCCTTCTCCTCTTCCTTCTCCGATGACCCTCCTCCGCCTCTCCCCCACCCTCGCCCGCCTCCTCCTCTTCCGCTTTCTCCTGCTTGGCTTTCCTCATTAATTGGTTTCGTCCTCCCTCTCGCTCTCACCCCCGTTGGTCGTACTTCTACGGATCGTGGCACCGGCGCTCGCATGGGCATGATTTGCATGCCTTGCATTTCAGGGTGCCCTTCTTTTCGTCGCGCGCGACATTGCTACTGTCCACGGAGGGGGCCCGCCCACCCAAAGAAACAAGACAACACAAGTACGCCCCAGGACAGCAACACAACATCCCCACGTCGATCAAGGGGTCGGCGGATGTGGCGTAAGCCTATAGAATATGTAATGCGGCAGTGTGGTGCGACACTGTATGAAACAGTGCGATATGGTGTGAACTGCAATGCAATGCTACGCCATGCTATGCCTTACTGTGCTCTGTTCTGTTGCGCAAAACGTTGCTCTGCCATACGGGGCCACGCTGCACAATGCTAGGCAATGAGTTGGCATGCGCTGATGTACTCAGATGTTCCACGCTTTGCAATACCAGTCTACAGCGATATAGTACGGTTGGCACAGATATGCAGTACCCTGCTGTACTCGGCATGCAGTGCTGTGATAAGCTACGCAGTGATGGCAATCATACGTGATGGGATGCTATGGCGTGCCACCATATCGCATGCCGCGCTGCCCAATTCAACGAAGTTGCATGATGTGCTAGGCTACTAGGCGGCTAGGCGGGCGGTACAAGGCATGCACGGCTGTGCTGCAGTATGGCTTGCATTGAATTTCACGGCGTTGAATTACATTGCGTTGCAGCTGTGTGCGTTCGATTGAGAGAATGCCCTGACTTTCGGTTCTGCTCGGCTCATGGTATTCACTAAACATGTAATCAGAAGATGGTCGGTGGTAGCTGGCAGCGTGCATACATATGTAAGAGTTGGTCCATATAAGCCCAAGCGTTCCCCGTGGCGACCGGAATGCCCAGTGATGATGTGCCCAGCGTGCCTGCACCCATCCTGAAAGCTGTACCCGAAGCCTCGCTCGATTCGCATACCCTGATTTACTCGATGCGCCCTGCGAGATGAAGAAGTCCTGGTAAAATGTGACCCGCCACTGCTTCGGCTGCTTTCCCCACGATCTGAGGACACATCAGCGATAAACCCAAAGCAAATCGCCACCGTGCACGAAGCCAAATGACTTGAGGCAGAATGACGAAGACGATTGCGAAGATGACGCCGACGACGGCTGCGGCGGCGACGGCGACAACGGCGGCAGCGACGTTGACGGCGGCAACGATTACGCGGACGATGACGATGACGACGGCGACCACTGCTGACGCTACCACAACCTTCACGATGAACCTCATGACAGTGTGGGCGTTGCTCGAGCGGCGAGGGAAGTAAAGCCAGCTGTGATCGGCGTCAGTGCTGCTGACAGTCTTCGCTGGCTGCCTCCGAGGCTGCCTCCTACACCAGGGATAAGGCAATCGGGCAAGGATCGGCACGTCATTGTCAAGGAGATTGCACTTCCAGCCTTCCCGTTTGCCTCATGTCGGGGGCAGGCCTTGGATACTCTCAGGCTCCAAGGCTCCAGCCCCCCCCCCTCATGTCGGCTCAACCCTGGTCTCTGCGTCAATCTGGCTTGGGGCTGCTGGCTTTTTCATAAGATTGGGCTTTGAGTCCGCTCTCCTGAGCTCCACCACCGCATTCCAAAGTTCCACAGCGTGCTGGAGCCGTCGACAAGACAACCTAAGTCAGCGAGGAGCAGCCGAAGTCAGCGAGAGCAACCAAACTCTACATCGAAGGCACTCCCAGCACGACGCCGCCCCTTGGCCCGCGTCCAAGCGAAGCTGTGCACCAGCAGCTCCTCGACGACGAAGAACGCCATTCGAAAAACGACCGCGCCGATGATGCCCTTCGCCAGGAGTGGGGGCAGCATGAAAGGCTAGGGCTGGGAAGAAGGGCCAGGCAGATGCAGGGAGGCGCGACGGGGAGGGGGGACCAGGAGAGGGGAGGTTACGGTCGGGAATGTTTGCTTAGCGTTAAGTCGGGCGTGTCCCCCTACAGGCGGATCTCGGACGAAAAGTGAAACATATTCCAAAAATATTGGAAAAAAACAAAACAAAAAAAAATCGTCCCCAGACTATTGCTTTTACTGTTCTTGACTATTCCTCCTGTAGAGGGACAGGCCCGACTTGAGCTCAGCATGCCGCGGCGGCGGCCCCGGCGACACGCTGTGCCCTGCGAGCGGGCGTGCCGCGCCAAGGCGACGTGAGACAGAACCCTGCGGCGCGACACTCCGGGCCCAAGTTGCTGACCACAGGGGGAGGGGGAGGGGAAGGGGAAAGCAGTGAAAGAGAGAGAGAGAGAGAGAGTAAAGGAGCCCAGGGACACACAAATAAATACACACGAATCCCAGGATTAACCATATTTTCCTATATTTTCTGGGTTTTCGTCTCCCCCCCCCCCACGTCCCATATTTGCTACATATTTGCCACATATTTGCCACATTTCCCATAATCGGCGGTTAATTGTGTCTGTGTGTTTTTAAACCTCCTGAGGGAGGGAGAGACAAAGAGACGCTAGGGCTCTACCAAGCACGCCACGTCGCACGCGCAGCCCTGGTTGAAGCGGCCAGGCGTCGCCAGGGCACGAGTACGGCCAAGAGCCTGCGGTGGTGCCACCGCTGCCCATGAAAAATGGGGCCTTGTCATGGCCATCCTCATTCTGGGCAAGTCCCCGCTTATCTGACCCAGAAAGGTTACTCGATAGCGACAAGGATACGGTCCCATGCGCGTGCACTTGACATCAGCTCCGGGCTCAGAGCTCACAAAGCATGATCGCCACCATCACCACAAGCGACAGCAACAGCACAATCGCTTCCCCATCCTGAGTATGAGTCCTCGTCGCGAGCCTCACGGCTGAGCGTCTTGGGCCGTGCCCACCACAACCGAATATTCATCACGGCCAGGAACGCTGGGTTCTGTTGAAGGGTTTCGATCGTCATACACAACACAGCAAGAGTACGAAGCACCGAACTGAAGCTACTGCTGCTACTGCAGATGCACGCCGCTCAAGGTACAACGGAGGGAGAGGGAGGAAGGAGGAGAGAGGGAGGCAAAGACGGATAAGAAAACCCAACCCGGCTCAAACCGCAGCCGCGAGGCACGAGGCGGAGGAGGGCACGAAGGAAGTGCCCAAACCTGCTGAATCCGCCAGTATCTCATCTCCCACATCTCATCGGATCTCTGGGCGCCCCCCCTAAGAGCTTCAGGGCGTGACGCCCTGAAGCAGGGCTGGCCCATCCCCCTCCTCGGCATCCTCACCGCAGCCCCCCGCGTGCAGCGGACCAGGCGCGCGCGCGCGACTGGCGCCGCGAGGCGCCCATGCATCGAGGAATGGGCGCAGCGGCGAGGCCGAAGCCAGCTGCATGCAGCAGATTCCGTAAGCCCCCCTTTCCCTATCCCCCCCTTTCAGTGGGCCCGAGGAACCCCGGGTCGGGGTCGGCCAAGAGGGGAGTGTCCGAGAGGGGGGGGTGCAAATCATGACCGGCGGCACGTGCGCGGCCCAGCGGGGGGGCCAGGAACGTAATGAAACAAGAAGAGGCGCCATGGAATCTGGGGAAATATCATGGCCCCCGCCATGATATCCACCCCCCCCTAGTCAACCACCCCCCTCTTTTCCGCCCCCGACCGGGGGGGGGGGGGGGAATCTATCAGAGCCCGGCACGGCCGGGGCACGCGCAGGGCTGCCAGTCCCGGCGAGAGCCTCTGCCACCCCGCGGCCCAACCAGGCCCTGGCTGACGGGGGGCGGAGGGGGGCGCCGGGAGAGGGGAGGAGGACCCAGAGGGAGAGCACGAAAGAGAGAGAGGGCGAAAGAGAGGGAGAGAGCATAAAGAGGGAGAGAGAGAAAGAGAGAGAGAGAGAGGGAGGAGGAGGAGGAGGGAGATAAAAAAGAGGTAGGGAGAGAAGGATGAGGAGAGAGGAAGAAAAGATAGAGAGGGAGAGAAAGATGAACAGAGAGAGAGAGAGAGAGAGAAAGAGAGAAGGATGCAGAGGAGGGGGAGGGGAAAGAGAGAGCATGAATGTGAGGAACGGGCCGAGGGAAGGGGAAGGCCCAGCCCGGCGTGACAGAAGCAGCGGCCAGCATAGCCAGGGGGGGCGGGGCTCCCAGAACAGCGGCTTGTGTTTCTGGTCGTCTGGCGTGCCCATGACCTTGAAGATGCTCTGGAAGACGAACCTCGCCCAGGGCCGCTTCCCCGCAAGCCTCGCCTCGTCGCCTCCTCCCCCCGTCGCGCTCACTCCATGTGATCCAAAGAGCAGGACAGTCGCCCTCCTGGCAGGAACTCCTGGCACACGGAGCCGTTCAGCAAACGCACGAGCACACAAAGACTCGAGAAAGGTAGGACCGTGCAGTGGACGAGCAGGATCGCTGGGGGGACGCCAGGCATGAGGCTCGGGAGCAGCTCTGGCCCTCCTCGAACACCCCTGCCCCGCCCCCCGCCCCCGGGCCCCCGCCAGTGCGCGCGACAGCCCGACACATCGACGCCGCTCCGGAAACCCTGAGCCCCAAAACAAATGTGATCTCTCTCTCTCTCTCTCTCAGGTTTCATAGGGGGCAAACAAACCTACCTCGCTTTTGACCACCCTCGCTTCCAAGAGACGCCAAGCGATGCCAAACTGCGGCCTGTACTGGTCAGGCAGCTTGACGAGGAGGCGCGTGGTGTGACATGGTTTTGCCTGGAAGCGAAAGCGGGGTAGGTAATTCACGCCCTGATTCACGGAGCTTCCCGGGGCCACCAACGTCCGCGAAGGCCAGGCCTCCCTCCGCGGCCCGCCTGTGCAGGACGCGCTCCCTCGAGGTCCGCCTCAAGGATAGGTTGCAGCGCTGCCGCCAGCGCCACGCGCACCCTCTGTGCCCAGAGGAGGAGGAGGAGGAGGAGGAGGAGGAGGAGGAGGAGGAGGATCCTCCTCCTCCTCCTCCTCCTCCTCCTCCTCCTCCTCCTCCTCCTCTTCCGCCAGCTGTCCTCCGCCAGGTTTCAGGTCTTACTTCCGCCGGCTGTCCTCGGCCTTCCATTGACGTCTGCCGGCGGAGCCGCCCCCGGTTCCACGGTCGCCGCCCTCCGCTGGCCTGCCGCCGGACCTCGGGGCCGAAAGCGGGGAGGCGTCGAGGGCGAGGCCTCCTCCTCCTCCTCCTCCTCCTCCTCCTCCTCCTCCTCCTCCTCCCCCCCCCTCCCCTCCTCCTCCTCCTCCTCCTCCTCCTTCTCCTCCTCCTCCTCCCCTCCTCCTCTCCTCCTTCTCCTTCTCCTCCTCCTCCTCCTTCTCCTCCTCCTCCGCCTCCTCCTCCTCCTCCTCCTCCTCCGCCTCCTCCGACACTTGGGCTGGGGGCGTCGAAGCAAGTCTCGGATGCGCCTGGTCGCGCAGCGCCTGAGCTCGAGACCAAGAAAGCAACCACGGCATGCAGATTGCAGCCTAGCCTGCGGGCATCGACGCAATCGAACGCGCTTGCTTCTGACACGAGGAGCAGAACCTCGTGGCCAGGATCTCCTGCTGTTCCTCCCCCTCCTCACCGTTCCTACCTTCCTCCTCCTCCACCTCTTCTCCCTTCATTCATGTAAATAGATGTATAAATAGATGTGCACGTGTGTATAGACGTAGAGAGAGAGAGAGAGAGAGAGATCCTCCCTGACGCACCGCTAAACGTGTCAGTAGGGCGGGCCAGGCGTTTCGCATGAGACTTCCTCTCTACTCGGTACCCTGAAGCTTCCAACTTGCAACAGCCTCAAGGATGGAGGGCAGGTGGCTTTCACAATGTGGCTCTCGCCGTAGCGCCGCGCACATTCGTCTGAAAGTTATGCAGCAGCTTCATGGATGGAGGCCTCCCCGCGTTCAATGTGCGGCTCTCGCCTTGGCGCCCGGCGCACTCGTCGTAAAAGTTTGCCACAGGCTCGATTGTGAAGTGCAACTCGTTTTCAATATGCGGCTCTCGCCCGAGCGGCGCGCACATCCGTCTCAAAAGTTCACAGTTGTTTCAAGGGTTCGCATGGTTGAGATCCCAGGACTGGCGTTCTGGTACGGTTTAGAATGGCCGAAAGACAACAGTCGCGTTGATTCGCGGTGTTCATCGACGAATAGCGCCCTGGTGAGATTTAGATTGTCAAGACACATCGGACACGTTGATGCTTGCCGTTGACGTCCCAGGAATGGCGCTTTGCAACGGTTGAGCATTCTCAGACGTTTGTCTTCCAATGGCGCACTTCCCGAAAAGAAAACAACGTCTTGCAGAGACCTAGGACGAGGAAACTGTTGTGTTTGACAAGGGAACTTGGAGGGAGGGTGCATTGCAGCATCGTTGATGCGCCTTGGGTTTACACTGGTCCTCCTCTCCCTATCCCCCCTCAGAATGAGCATCACCGCCATCGCCACACAGACATCACCCACAACGCACGTAGGTATCATCGCCATTTGAATCAGATTCCGCACCCAAGCGCCAGCATCACCATCAAAAGAAACAGCGGTATCATCAGCAGCATCATCGTCGCCATGATCATCAGCAACAACACAAGCAATCTCATCGTCGCCATTGCAATCATCCCCACCACCATCATAACCCGCATTATCAGTACCAGCAGTAGCACCACCACCAGCATGATCCTCTCTCCCTCCCCAGTCACATCCTCCTCCCTCCTCCTCCCCTCTCCTCCTCCGCTTCCCCGCTCCTCCTCCTACTTCTCCTCCTCCTCCTCTTCCTCTGTTGCCCGTTTGGCTCAAACCATTTTAGCTCAAGGGCCACTCTGGCTCCTGAGTCTGCGGGCAGGAGCTTGCAACAGCGAACTTCAGAACGGCATTGCTGCTGCGGGCCGATGTGCCTGCTTGCGCCCCTGTCGAGGATTCGCCCCCAGGATCACGGCGCAGCGATGTCCCCGCCGCGGGTTTTGGCTCATGCTCCCCACCGTATCGTCGGGAGGTGGTCCTGCGGGGGGTTGTGGGTGCTCCGAAAATCGCACGAGCTGGTGATACTGCTAGCACTGCAATCAGAGAGGCAGGACAAGGTGCTGCAGGTGGCGCGAAGGCCGACGCTCGTGCTCGGGCGTCTCTCCGCCCGAAGGCGCCCCAGGCCCAGAGAAAGAGCAGACAGTGCGAGAAGCGCCATGCAAGGGAACTTGACAAGATGCACAGCTGGAGGGTGGACCTGGCAGTCTTGCAGAAAACACTCTCATCTCTTGGAGAACAACCCAGCGGTCACGAAGGGAACTACACGGAACTTGTGGCACACACGACTGGAGAAGCTTCGGAATGTTCCAGTCGGCACGCCAAGAGCAGAAGGATCACCTCACCCGGCTTGCCCAGAAGACGGGGAAGGCGCAGCGTGGAGCAGTTCCTGGCGGCGACCCAGAGGGCGGAGGACTCGCCGATGCAGCTGGAATGCCTGGTAACGCACTCGGCGGAGGGAGCGGGACTGAAGCTGATGGCGGAGGCTCAGCCAGCTCAGGCCGCGGAGCGCCACTCCCCCCCGCCCCCCGGGTCATTGCCAGACCAAGACAGTCCAATCCCCAGGCCGCAGTCCAGAGCTGCGCGAGCGGCTTGCCGAGGCCCTGGCACAGAGGGAGCCTCACAATCCGACTGCCCTGCCACTCAGCTCCTGAGGCTGCGGGGAGGGATGGCTAAGGGCTTTGGTAATCCTGCTGCTTGCTCCCAGGATTTCCCCCACGTCCTTGGGGGCCACGGTTTGCGGTCCTGGAGAAGCTTTGAGTCGCTGTTTTGTAAAGCAGAATCTCTTAGAGGATCCTGAGGTCGCCTCCCAGGCCCAGGTCCAGGTCAGTCGACGACCCTCCGGAACCGGTGAGCACTGCGGCAAATGGCACTTGCTGGGGCACCTTGCGCGACTGGTTGCCTCCAGCGTCTTCCTGTCCGACATTTTTTGGCTCCGGAACACCACCAGGTGGATCCTGGCGCGGCGGCCCGTGCTTCCAGGTGGTGCGCGAACCAAAGTGAGCATCGTTTAGCCGATCCCCATCCCCACTCACGTGGCCTGGGCCCCACTGGCCCGTTTACCCCCCTAGATGGAGGTATAGGCAGTTTCTGTCAGAGTTCGAAGGGCATATCCCCAACTGGGGGGATGAGGTGGTGGGGGTCTGGATGGGGATGGGGATGGGGATGGGGATGGGGATGGGGATGGGGATCGGCTAAACGATACTGACAAATGTGGACGTCTTTCTGGGAACCAGCGAGTCGTGCGTCCCGAGGTGGAAACTGGGGCGGAGTGGCCATCCTGGCGAAGGAGCGCACGAGGCCTCACTCGCCTTGCATGATCTGCCACGGTACAGTCGAGGCGTTGACCTAAGGAACCCTAAATAAGGAACGAGGCCCCTTTTTCCCATAAGTTAAACTTCGACTTCCCATCGAAAACTTAAGGAAGACCTTAGGCAAGGTGTGGAGCAATTAAGGAACACCGAGCCCCTCCCCAACGAAAATCGTTCCTTCTTCAAGGCCCTCACTGCAGGGCCCTGGGGGCTCGAGCGCATCTTCCAGGAGGGGCCTCGACGGTGCCCATCTCGCTCCACGGCTTCGACTCGGACGGGGTCGCGGCTCGCCGGGTTGAGCGCGTTCGCGATACAGGTGCCCTGCCTCGCGCTGGAAGGCATGGCTCGCTGGGGAAAATGACCTCCCGAGACGGTTTCGGACCTGCGGATCTTGGAAAAGTGGCAGGGGGGGGTGATCACTACAGGCAGCCCTGCGTGTTTCACCGCTGAGCAGTCACTCTAGGACTACATCTTGGCATCAAGCGGCATGGCTCTCGGGGCCAAGCTAGTGGCGATAAACTCGCAGGCGGGCTTCTCACCACACTTCGGTATGGACCTCAAGTTCCACCTACAGCTGCGCCGTCTGCAATCTTCGGGGGCAGGGGGTCACCAGGGGTCACCCTCACGCCAAACGGTTGTGTCCATGGGGCAAGCCTTTCTGGACAAATGTGAAGACCTCGAGTGTCCGATGGCGCTGTGGAGGTCCCCAGGACGTTCAGCCTTGCTTACGAACAGCGGGCCAACCGTCGCAGGGGAGAGCTGGCTGCCAAACTCGGGGAAGACTCGGCGGTCCTGGGGTCCAAGGGTAATGACCCAAATGTGGCGTGGAAATCAATTCATTGGACGAACTGCAAGACTTGCCGTTATCCCGAGAGCGAGGACCACGAGGTGGGCGCGTTCCCGCTTCAAGGCCTTCGCACAGCTTACCCCAGTCAGT